AGAATTATGTAAAATACAGCATATCAAGTTGTTTATATAAATTACATCATATTATAATATATTATGATCTTATCGTCTAAGAATTATATTTACAGTATTTGATCTATAAATACACTTCTATTTCTTCGTGATTTTTGTAATAATTATTGTCGAAGGATATTTTTAGTCCTGACTTTGATAATCTTTTATGAAAAGCCTGTTTAGATAGATCTTTTACTTGACCACGCGATTTTCTTTCTTCGATTCTTGTCACGAAAACAAAATGAATGAAAACCGATGCAAAATGGTGATGACCATATTAAAAGTCAAAACGTTTGTTCTTACTATACTAATTTATAATACACTAGATTTTAAGTCCACGTCACGCGCAAAAGAATATCATATAGTTCGATATATCAATGCCTATATTATTATCAATCAAATAGAAAATTAATACCGAATCAACTCGAGCATTCCTAGCTCTGTTTGCTAGCCCCGTTCACTGAAAAAAAGTTTGGTTAGAATAACCTAAGGCTTGGTGAAATAGCTTCAACTAAAGGGTTTAGTGATTATGACGAAATATTTGGTTAATGTTAACCGAATTTGTTAACATTAACCAAATTTGTTAACATTAACCAAATATTTCGTCATAATCACTAAACCCTTTAGTTGAAGCTATTTCACCAAGCGTTAGGTTATTATAACCAAACCTTTTTTTCAGTGTTCTTTCAATTTGTTATTAATAAATCATTTTCAATTAAATATTGTTATATTGTAATCTAGTTTATAAGCTTATCATGTAACATAATAAATCTTAAATAATCAAGAAACATTATCTTTTTTGGATGTAATTCGGGAAAATAATACTTATTGATAAATTAGCATGATTCTTTGCGGAATTTTTTTTGTGGCACTTTTTTTTTACTCGATCATAAAGATGTCGATCCCACTTAGTCTAGACTTAGTCTTAGTCTTGGTCTCCTAAGTCTATGGTAGATCCGGATAGTAATTAATGTATCACATTTCAATTTCTTGAACTCTTTTAAATAATTATAAACAATAATATTTGAGCGTGTGTCCTAAGCGTTCTGAGTCCTGAGCGTGCTTGTATTCCGTAACTATACATATACCCACAATTATCGGTATCATTAACAGTGTCGGCTTTTATATAATATGAGAAACCTGCGCAACGACTTATCGACAGGGACAATTGTCGGTGTGGTTACGGAATACGGACCTTGATATATGTATAAGTACAACCTATATGTACCTATATATAAAAGTAAAAATAAGTTTTTTTTATTTATTGAAAATGCAGATATGGCACGTTACATGATACATAAAAATAAAATAAAATAAAATAAGTTATTAAATTAAATTAAATTAAATTAAATTAAATTAAATCAAAACCGGTTTTCCTAAATTAACAATAAAATTCACATTAATAGAATCTATTCATTTAATTTATGTAACAATGGACTTTAATCTACACGTAGGATTGCAATTTCTTCAATTTATTCTCAAGGCCTATAATTATGAAGATATTCAGCGATTGGCAATGAGATAACATGTTGTTTTTGTTTTAAAAAAGATAATTATGTAAAAGACCTATTGCATTTAAGAATAGATTTAATGCGTTTTTTTTGCTTTGTAATGTTTTTCCACTTCTTCTTTTTTCCCTCCTTAAAGGCTGATCTACAATGTGCTCTTTGCTTTCTGTTTTTTGCTCTTAACCTCTTTGCGACTATCTCGTATTTCGCAATTCCGTCGCGTAATGTGATGTTTCTTGTCTTCTGAAGTTCGTCAATTTTTATCTTGGGCGACAGAGAACAAAAACATCGCGTTACGCGACGCAATTGCGAAATACGGGATAGTCGCAAACAGGTTAAGAGCAAAAAACGGGAAGCAAAAAGCACATTGTAGATCAGGCTTAATAAAAAAAAAAGTCATAAAAACGCATGAAGTGGTCGTGCTCTTTTCCGCGTATATATGTGATTGGCAAGCGAGGATGCTGTCGATAGTGTCGATGGTGATCGAGATCGTGACGAGTTCTGCGAGTTCTCGTGTGTAACAGTTCGCGTCGTGTCTAATACATATTATTTATATATTTTATTCATATATATGTAATAAATATAAATATATATAAATATATATAATTCATATTACCTACTTATTGTACAGTACGTATTATTTATTAAAATTTATTTATTACATAATACATATTATAAATTATATAATACATATGTACATAAGTATGCATATATCAATAGATATGTATGTATGTACGTACACCGGCAGAAATGGTGTTTCTCGGCGGCAAAGGTTACGTATGCAAGCACACGCATACCTAGCCGCCGCTCCGTGATACACTATTTATGCCGATGCATGTATGTACATACGTATTACACAATTAAAAATTATGTAATACAAATTTGTTGCTATTGTTAATTCTAATTTTAATTAAGTGAAAAATTTGACAGCTCAATATCAAACATTATCATGAGGTTATTATGGTTATGTGAAGAAGCTCTCAACATGTAGTGATTTACGAAAAAGAAATAAAGGGAAAGAAAATTTCAAAGAAATAGGAGAGAGTGCCGTTATACTAACCATATTTACCAAGGTAAGATCACTATACAGATAATTTTTTGGTGGTAAAAAGATCATTATGTATATGTATATGTATGTATAATATACATATTGTATATACATTTCTATATGCAGATAATTATATAGGGAAACGGAGGGTAGCCCCGGTCAGTGGATAGCCCCGGACATTATTGAAATTCAAGTATACCGCGTATCTATGGCCATTGTTTAAACATTCTAATATTGCCCTTCTGCGTATCTCCGACATATGCAGAATGTTTAAACAATGGCCATAGCTACGCGGTATATTCGAATTTTAATAATGTCCGGAGCTATCCTCCTGGGTAACTCCGGTATTTACGCCGCGCGGAGTTTTACGCCGCAGATGTCAGAAAAAATAGAAGAAATGAAGGTACTTGCTCACAATTATTCTGTTATGTTCCTTTATGCCATATTAATATCGTGTTGTAATTTCAGTTCTTTACTGTTAATATTAACGAACCTATCGTGAGTTCAATCGATTTCTTACTGTCGTAAGAATTTAAGCGCGATCTTGATGTGTTACGACCGTCTATGGTTACGACCTATGTAAAAATGATTACTGTAGAGAATGTAAAAGGTTTAATGGTTATTTTATGATACATAAGTGTAGAGGGATAGTAAATAATGGAATACAGCAAAATACAAGTGCATAACTTTTGTATTTTTTGTTTAACTTAATATCTTGTATATCCTTCCTGTTTGGGATATTGTAAATTCAAAAATCCAATTTAAATAATAGCTTTATTTCTTTTTCACAAAGTTATATTACCTAACTTAACTCAAGTGACATGTATTTCAAAATAAGATGTGAAATCTTTAATTTCTCCTTTACAAAATTATATTATCTATAAGAAACTTATTTTTCGCTCGTTTGAAGCAAGACTATAATGAGAAGTAAGACCTTTACCACCATTATACGAGCATTAATAGATGTTACAGAAAATTCATATCTAATTCTTATATGCATTATTGTAATACATATATATTCCAACTATTTACTGTGTTCCGATCACAGCCGGACTTAATACACATCAGTTATCATTAGAACGTTAAAAAACCCTTCCATCCCCCCACAATTAAATCGACACGATTTAATTAATTTCTTATTGTTAATATACGTTGACCTTACAATGCGTCTTAGTATTTACAACTATTATTAACCGATTATTGCGAAGAATATTACCACATGCCTCGATGGTCGAATTGGTACGACGCCCTACACGGAATGAGGGAGGTTCCAGATTCGAACCCTGGCTGAGGTGATATTTTTCGCAATAAATTCTTTACAGTTTTTTAATAATTAAATCATGTCGATTTAATTGTGGGGGGATGGAAGAGTTTTGTAACGTTCTAATGATAACTGTGTATTAAGTCCGGCTGTGATCGAAACACAGTGAATTCGCTTCGTGCATGAACGTGGAGGGGATTCGCGAAACGACTTAGGCGCTCATAGCGATCAGTTTGGAAAATTGGGCTGAAACACCCCAGGTAGCAAGCACTCGTCATTTTGACGTCAATATTTAGTCATAATTGGTCAGTAACGTCATTCGTCGATTAAGTGACGTATATT